CAGCAGGAACTGGGCTGTGTTTTAAATGAATGCTGTCCCACAGTCATCCCCCAAACCCTTTGTTCGCTTAGCCAGGAGGCAATCAATTCCTGAGCAGGTTGGTGAGCCTGGCTGTCAAAGACAGCTGTCACTGCTTAGGTGACAGCGGTCTCTCGGTGGCAGCACAAAGTAATGCCGATGATCTTCTGTTCTGTGCACCTGCTGGAAAAAATGGGCTCAAAAGGGTTGTGAAAAGGTGCAGCCTGCAGTGAGCACAGCTGAGATGCCTGGCTAAGGTGGCAGTGTGGTAGTCAGCGCCGGTATCTTGGAGCGGTGTTCCCCGCACCTCAGCTTGTCCGGCTACCACGGTCCACCTCAGCCAGTGGCACAAAAAAAGTCAACCATAGGGTTGTGCTAGTTCATATCCCCCGGTAAGGGGGACCCCAAGGCCACACCAGCAGCCACAAGGTGACTGAGCCTGCAATGCTGCTCCTTGCCCAGCTGCTGGGCAGCAGGGATGACTTGGGACCTGCCCCTAAAATGTTTTCTGAGACGATCCTGCAACATGAGGCAGCATTCCCCTCCATCAGTTTGTTGGGTTTTTATCTTGTGTTTTGAGCATCCAGGGTTTAGCAGAGGGCAAACAGAAGGTTTGCCCATCAGAGGGGATTGGGGATGAAATTAAAGCAAAAGCAAGGGCTGCTTTCAGTGTGCAGGGTGGTACCCCACGGGAGGGCACAGAGGCTGGGGGGAGAGGAGCCCCAATGGCTGCTTAACTCCTTCCTCTGGTTTCCACTGTACTGAACACCAGGGTGTCCAATTATTATTTGCTCACTACTGGACCAGATCTTTAGCTGCTGCCGACTGCTCACTTCAGCTTCAACTTCTACCAACCTCTAGCCAGTTGGGGCTTCCCAAGCTGCGTTGGTGGGGCTGGCAGTGTTGATCATGCTGTCTGTTCCCCGGTGTTTGCAGGAGAGAGCAAACATCAAGAGCTTTGCAGCCTTGAGGAGGTCAATGAGATGTTGATCCCCCAGGGCTTTTGGCACTGCAAAAATCATCAGCATGCTGACACGAACTCAACTGTCCCGCCACGGGAAGGACAAGCCACCAACGCTAACCAGGTGTCTTCAGCAGATGTCTTCCAAAGCAACGCCGCAGTCGGCAAGGTTGTGGGTGAGCTCTCCGGCTGTCAGCCAGTGAAATGCCACCAGCTTCCCCACTGCAGGGATCTGTGCCAGCCAGTGGCCTATCCCCAGCGCGGCAGTGGCTCACACGAAGCAGGACCGTGCATTCCCACAGCGCTTGTTTGGCATGGGAGAGCTGCTGCAAATCCCCTGGGAGGAAAAGGCTACTTTGCTCGCAGGAAAGCAGAGTCCTGGGATGGGTCCTGAGCTGCCACCCGCTGTCACAGCCCCAGAAGTCCTCAGGCAATTGGTCTCTTAGGAATTACTGCAAGAGGAGCAAAGCCCTTGGGAAGGCAGGATTGAGAGGGTTCTTTTCCAGGTTGTTTTCTTTAATGCCTTTTTCATCTCTGAGGACTCAAGGGGCTCAATTCTGTATCCTGCTGTCAGCATTACATGGCCAAACCAAGACATGAGGTGGTGGGAGAGCAGCAAAACGCACAGTGTTTGCAGGGGCCAGGCGTTGGGAGGTGTGTATGTGAGAACAGCATCCAGTCCCGCAGCTGCCTTGGGGGAATCAGTGTTATTTTCCTATTCATTTACTGCCTCAATGACAAGGCAAACGTGGGGAAAAAAGAGCTAGAGAGGGCTGAATCTCTTCCTTCCTTTGATTTTGTGCTTTCACGGATCAAAATCCTTTCGTGCAGCTCCCAAGCTGGGTAAGCAAATGTGTCGGACTGAAACACGGCGCGAGAGTGAACTCCATCAAGAAGTGGGGGGAAAAACAGAGTAGAAATCTTTTAGGTGCAGGCAAACAGGTGGGGGGAGCGTCTGGTCTGCGAAGGCAGGGTGTCTGCAATCCTTGTAGCGATTAGATTTAATGGGACAGAAACGTTTCTCTCCTTCACGTCCCCTCCTCCTCTCAGCCCGAGGGGGAGAAAGGAGGGAGGTGGGGATGGGGAGGTGGCGGGGGGAGAGAAGATTTGAAAGAGACTTTGACGTCAGCCCTGCCCTATAAAAAGCTGGCAAGGAGCTGGAAAGCAGAGATCAGAGCTCGTGGAAGAGCAAAGATGCCAACCCCGAACATCTCCACCTCTGCAGCCAAAGGCTTCCGCAGGGCGGTGTCGGAGCTGGACTCCAAGCAAGCTGAGGCCATCATGGTAAGACAACTCTACCCCACTTCTTTCCCTCCCCCTCCAGAAACCGCAGCCTCTCCCATAGCTATAGGCAGAGACGTGCAGGGCCAACACTGCCTTTGTGGGAGTTCCCCACCATGGGCACCTCCGGGCTCCAGGCTGGTAAAGGGAAATTACCCGAATAGTTCTCTATACATACTGGTACATGTGAAATGCAAACATTTAGGGGGATGAAAGTTTGAACTAATGCAACAGCCCCTGCAACCAAAAGCAAGGTAAATAACCTATAGACCTAAGGCAGGAATAACGAGGAATCCCCAGCATGAAAGGCAATTCAAAAATCTTAATGCTCTCCTGATTTCAAGGCAATAAGATGCAGAGATTTCACCTGTTCCAGCATAATGAAAAAGTGTGGCTGTTATTTCAGACAATATACAAGGCACAGGCAATTTAATCAGTTTGTTCACTGCTGCTGCGTTCGCAGTTTTACTTTCTCCCAGCACATCCTTCCCCCGTTTCTGTTCCCAGCACTCCCTTGGTGTCGTCTCAGCCCTGGGTTTAGCCTGGGGAATGCTTCTGCAGACACCAGATCCTTTAGAAAGCCAAGACTGGCCAACCCATTGGACTGGCTGTAGGGACAGGGACATTTCACCTCCTAACCCAAATGCCAGGGCAGGCAGGAGAAGCCTGGAGACTCCTGGCACAGGACAGTCCTGTGGGTCAGAGGTGTGGCCAGACTGTGGGCGACCCTGGAGGAACCAGAGCAGCCGGTGCACTGGGAGGAGACCCCCTCGGGACCCTCAGCAGGAGGAAACCCAGGAATGGAGCCAGGTTAGGGAGCAGATGTGCTTGGCAGATGCCTGCAGGGTGACTCCAGCAGGTCAGTTATAGAGCTCCCCATTTTCCTCCCCTACGCCTGCTGCCTTTTTCACCCACTCCTCTCTTAACCCTGTGTGATGCTCTGACTCGGTAAAATCAGCCACTACATAGGCAGCAAAAGGTGTTTTGGAGAGTGGAGTGTGCTGGAAAGGAAGGGAAACATTTAGGAAACAAGGAGATAAGCTTGCTTTCTCTAATAAATGGAAATCAGGGAAGTCTTCCTTCTCACACAACTGTTTTCATTCTGGCAAAATAATGAACATTTAAGTGGTTCTTGAAAACATGGTATTTTCCAGGCTGCTCATCAAATCACTACTTGAGACGCTCGTTGCTGTCTGGAGAAGGGGCGAGTGTTTGGTTATTACCCACTCTGGGGTGCTGCTTCGTGTTTGATGGGAAACGGGCCACTGAACAAAGGGGCCAGAGGAATTTGGCGTGGCAGCCTGCTTGGGTTGAGTGGCTCGTCTGGCCTGGGGCGGACATAAAACCTCAGCCCATCTTTGGATGGAAATTCTTAGAAAAATAAAATAAAATAAACCTTAGCCCTGTTAGAATCACTCTGAGAGCAGGCTGCATGAAAGGCTTTGCCCTTTGCTCTCCCCTAGTGTAGGAGCTCTCCACAATCCTGTCACTTATTTTTCTGGCTTGTACCAGGCAAGAGGCGTGACTCTGCATTTGTATGTGACATCGCGTGTCCCCGGCCCTTGTGGTGTCGGCGTGACCATGGGCGATTGGCCACCCAGCCCCTGCCCACCACTGCACCAGCTCTGGCAGGTCTGAGGTGTTCCTTTGCCTTTAACCTCCAGGGACCAGCACCCCACTGCAGGGGAAACTGTGCAAACTGCGGAGAAAAAAAGACGTTTGCAATCCCAGAACTCATCTACATGGGCAGGTATTTTACGTGGCAGCTGGGCCAGCCAAACATCAAACTCACACTGTGGAAAAAACTTTTGTTACATATTTAGTTTTTCTGCTTCTAATAGTTTTTACAAGACACCCTGGGACTGTAGCTGGAGCAGGGTTTGGTTACAGAGCACACGAACAGAGCCTGGCAGCGGACAGCCATGGGAGGCAAACCAGCAGGAAGGAGCGCCCAGGGAAGCAGGGGTGGGACATTACTGTCCCCACACTGCAGGGAGGGAAACAAGTCTTTACAATCCTTCCTGCTTGCTGCAAATAATGAGCCAGGAAAAAAAAGCCCAAGTACTTTACTCAGAGCGTAGTATTTTTAATGACACTGCTTAGGAAGGGTACTCTGAGCTGCAGCAAATTCAAAGAAGGAAAAACAAACTAACCCTTCATAAGAGGTGAATGACCTTATCAGACTCAGGCCCCAGTCGGGCAAATAAATGCTTTGCAAAATCAAATTAAACTTCTCACATATGCTCTCAGGGAGCTAGTCTCCAAGGCAATTCGGAAATACCATGTAACAGTGCCTTCCGAAGAAAGGAAGGCATTTATCATGAGAGATCAGTTTCGTTAATTTATATGACAGATACCTGATTTCCAGCAAAAGGAGGTAATACCCCACTGAGTGTAAATGTGAGGGGCAGAGGAGAGGATGATGAGATGGGGAGCGTGCAGCCAGGCAGCCTCTACCCAGCAGAAGAGGCAGCAGGCAGGCAGACCCCTCCCAGCGCTCTTCTCCCAAGCAAAATTCAGCCTTTTTCTTTTTTTTTTTTTTTTTTTTTTTTTAAATTTACCCACCCAAAACGTGCCAGCATGGAGCCAAGTAGCTTCCAGGACCTCTTGACAGGGACTGAACCACACCCCCCCCCAGCTCCTGCCTGCCAGGGCCACTGAGTCCCAGCACATGGGTCTGACTGGTTGTGGCTGCCTCTCCTGGTGTAGCTTTCCAGTCACACAGGTCTTCTCACTATTTAAACTCCTTCCGGTCAGATTTTAACTTGATTTACAGTCTACACATGGGGGTCTAATTTCCCGCCTCTCCCCCACTCCAGCTCAGAATTAAAATCCTGCTGCACCTCTGCACCTTGGGGCACAGCGTGATAAAACAACCTTAGCTAAAGCACTGCCTGGCTTGGGACTACTGCAGAGCCTAGTTACTGTGGCTAGCACAAGGCTGTTTGCCCTGCTTATTGCAGACACTTTAAAGTAAACACCGGCTTAGCTTTCAACACAGTAGCAATATAAAACACACACTTAAAGCTGAGTACATGCTCACAAGCTTTTAAAAGTTATGCCTTGGGATACTTATTAGATGTCTTCTCTCTTTGGGCATGAATACCATTGATTCAGACAAGCAGCAATAAGTGCTTATTTGTTAGAAAGTGTTTTTCTGTGCCACAAGGAATAAAGGGGTTGAGGATCAGCAAATATCATTTCAGAGGGGTATCTTTATTAAAAAAGGACTGGATAGAAGTGTGTGGGCTGGTGCCTAGATGTGCCACATTTTTCAGGCTGCATTTAAAATGTCAGCTTTACACCACTAAACCAGCCAAGAGGATTTTCACAGGAAACAGTTACTGATGGTGAGCTTTGAAAATCAGAGAGAAAATGGGCTTAGTAGTTGAGCAGGCTGTCTTTTTAAAAAGGAAAACATTCTCCAAATTTGCACAAGGTAGGGAAGGCACTGCTTGGTTAGCATCTATCTCTTTTCCAGATATTTTCAATGTAACCAGAGGGAAAACTGCAGCCAGTCCTGCTCTATATGCAGGTGCCAGATGGCTTTATGTGCTGCTCCTTCCTCAGTGCTGCCTCAGGTTTCTTTTAGCAAGTTCTGAGGGTTTGTCATCTGGTTTGGATATTGAACACAGAAAATTGGAACCAGCTGAGCTGCCTCAAAATGGAAAACTGGTTGTAAAAAGACCAAGAACAAATAAGTTAGTATATGAGTTATTTGTATAACACAAGAAACAGCAGAGATGGAAATAGTTTGTAGCTCACTGTAAATATAAATGAGTGACCTAACATGACCCCAGGCACATAGTTGCAGCACTTTAGGTGCAATTTCAAGTAACAGAAATCTGCAGGAGTTTGTTAGGAAAAAACAAATCTATAGATCAGTGGGAGGAATTTATTTTCTGTGGTATATGGATGCGGTTCCAATTACACTTCAATGGGCAAGCATCCACTTAATGTCAGAAGAAAATGTTGCGTTGGATCCTGGGAGCAGTTTAGCTAAGCTGTCTGCTAATACACCTGCAAACAGTTCATGTTTCCTGGCCAGGCCACAGCTGTGGGCTTCAGCTGTCCCTCATAGCGTATCTTTTCTCAGATGACTTCACCTTTATCTAACGCCTCTCCACTTGAGTTTATCAGACACCTGAAAACTGTGTAAGATTTTTCCTGATTTTTATTTTTTGAAGGATATTGAAATCTGTTGCTAGGGAAGGTGAGGGGAGAAGCCCACTCTCTAGTCGTGCTACAAGGATATTTTACACAGATTTTTCCTAAAGCTCCACATTTCCAAAAGTTCAATTCTAAAGCCTCAGTCCTCATAACCAGACCTTCCTCTATAAAGCCAGGCAAGTCAGTCCAATCTTCCCCTTTTTCCTTTGCTGAGACACATCAGTCACACCTCATCCAGCTACCAGGGATGCCTCTGATCTCCCTTACAGCTCTATCAGAAGTGTTATTTATTTCTGTTCTGCCTTCAGTCTCCACGGTTCATTGGTAGACGTCAAAGCCTCATTGAAGACGCCAGGAAGGAAAGAGAGGCTGCAGCTGCAGCCACTGATGCTGCAGAGTTTACAGAGACCATTGTCTTCGAGGAGAAGGATGGGAGAGCCATGCTGAACCTCTTCTTCATGCTCAAAGGAGCCAAGGCTTCACCGCTGTCCCGTGCACTTAAGGTATTTGAGGTGAGTACTTGACCTGTTGCATGGGACTCAAGGAACACACTACAGGTTTCATGGCTGTTCTGTGAAAAGTATCACTTGAGTCTACTAAAGAAGACTCAGACTAGGTCTGCCTACTGCAAATTATCAGTTAATTTTCTGATGTCCCCACAGTCATGCTTTGCTCATGCCCCTGTGTGCCCTCACTTTCTGTCACTAAGAATGAGCCATACCTCTGTCTGGTAGTGCTGTTAAGCTCTGGGCTTAACTTTGCTTAATTACTGGATCCAGCCACACAGTTTCACACCTACAGTCCACACCCTTGTGACTTGTAGCATACTCTGACAGCCCTCTCCACTGCTCAGCACTTCAACTTCATGCACAAGGCTCTGATCCCACATTGAAAGCAAGCCGTGTGCCCTGCATGGCTACAGGCCAAACCTGCCTTACTTGTGGTCAAGGCTTTGGCAGTCTCTGAATGGCATTGCCACATTGGTCCTTGGTCAAAGAGTTACAGGAACAACGTCACCCTGGGTATAAAACTGGTATATTGATTTCAAAATTACCTCCCTACTTCAGGGATTAATTTGATTCACATGTTAAGGGTTCTGTTGGTTCCCCCCAGAAATGCTCCCTGTATATGTCTTTAATACCAGGGAAAACTGATAACTAATTGAGCTTTTTCCCCCTAGCCAGGAATATAATGTTGCATTATCTAGGATCTCAGTACCATGAATGGAGAGACTGAGATAAGTGCTGCCTGTTTAAACAGTAATCAAAACACAACAACTTGCATTTATGTAGTACATTTTCATCCAGAAGGATTCAAAAGTGTTTTGCAAATTGATGTTCTGAGATACGTTTTATCTACAGTAGTTTAATTTCATTGACTTCAGCAGTGAGAGGACAGGACAATTCGTTCCTATTAATCAGTCATGTGGATTGTAAAGGGCCTCTGGAGGTCTCTAGTCCAACCTCCTACTCAGAGCAGGTCCAGTCACAGCAGGTTCCTTGGGGCTGTGCTTATGGCATTTTGAATATCACCAAGGTAGAGATCCCACAGTCTCCTTGGATCCCTTGAGCAGTGTTTGACTGCCTTCATGGTAAAAAGGTTTTTCTCTTTTGTTTTTCTTTTAATGTCCTTGCTTCCAGCTTGTGCCCATTGCTTCTCGTCCTCCCACTGTGTACTTTTCAGATTAGTCTGGCTCTGTCTTCTTTACACCCTCCCACCAGGTACTACTAGACAGTGAACCAGTCTCCCCTGCCCCTTCACTTCTTAAGGCTGAACAAATCCAGTTCCCTCAGTCTTTCTTCATATAACATTGTGCTCCAGCCCCCTGAGCATCTTGGCAGCCCTCCACTATACCTGCTACAACACATCAATGTCTTTCTTCTATGAGACGTGGTACTCCAGATGTGGTCTCCCTCATCCCAGATAGAGAGGAGGAATTACTTCCTTTGACCTGTTGTCTACAGTCTTGCTACTACAATTCAGTATGTGGTTGGCCTTTCTCGTCACAAGGGCATGCTGCTAGCTCATATATTAATACACATGATAATTATATAACACCTTATTCTCCATGAAATGCAACCACTTCTGGGATAAAAACAGATCATCAGCAACACTATACAGCAAAACCACTACGTAACAGCTGTAAACATACAAAAAGTGTGTTTGGGGGATAAGTATTTCCCTGAAATTGTAGGGCATTCTAGCTATTCATTGCCCGTGCAGTTCTATTTCTGATAATCTTACAAAAATTGTTTAAGATCTTCAGCAATTACAAACATCTTTCATCTCCTCTAAGAGGACTGTTGCAAGAAAAGCTGTTTTCAGGGCAACATATGGTTCTTGTCTCAAGACTGAAAGAATCTCTAAGACAAGGTTGTCAGACAAAAGCCTTGGTGTTGCCATGATTGGGGTCTCCTTCCTAGAAGTGCACCGCTGCCAGATAAGGCATGAAAAATCCATCAGTGTAACATTTCGAATGCGACAGACTGCTTAGCGGGTATGAAACACAGAAGTAAAGGCTCTTGTACTTGGTAGATTTTATGTCACACTGCATTTAAAGTCTATAATTTAAACAATTTTTAAAACATCAAGCAAGAAGCAGGGGCAGCTTATGTTCAAATATTATTTGTTTCTTCCTGGAGCAATTTACTTGCTGCATCAAGAGCTCTCCTAGCTCTTTGAGCTTGTCACAGAGAGAGCTTTAAATATAATAAAAAGACAAGCATGTCAAGCCACAACAGAGGAAGACTCATTTCCCAGATCCCTCTGGCAATGCAGGTACAAGATATGAAAGCAGACGGGTATAATGACATTTGCCTCATCATGAACCAGGCTGCAGGGAAGCTGGTTTCACTCTTCTGTATGTGTTACATGCAGCCAAAGCATAGGTAATGCAATCACAGCTGTCAGATTAATGCAAAGGTATTGATTGTTGAGGGGACAATGTAATAGTGAAGTTGGTAGGTACATTAAAAAACACAGTCCTAAATTTAATTTACCTGTGGCATTGCATCTGTTCCTTCTCATCTTTCTGCCTCTGATTAACAAAAGAAATCATGTCCCTTCCTCTACCAAAGACCTTGCAGAGACTTTGGAAAGGTTGGGTCATTGCCCAGGGACTTGGGCTTGTAGTGTCAGTTTTCACTGAGCTAAAGAAAATATCCACAAATCTACCAGGGCCCTTTGGAAGACTATAGACTCCATTTTGTCTCCTTATTTCTGGGGGGAGACCAGTTCTAATAATGAGCCCAAATGATATCAGTTCCGATAGTGAGCCCCAAATGAACGCTACTGCAGCCTGGGTAGGGCTCAGCCCCGCCGTTCAGCACCATGGCCAGCACCGCGCCGCCGCCCCCGCTACGTCATCGCCAACGCCTTCCTCCCAAACCAGCAAAAAAGCACCTTTCCCTGAAGTGGGAGATTAAAGGAAAGGGGGTAATAGAAGGTGGCATTTTGCCACATCAATTTCCCCTCTTGATACGATCTTCTTTGCCACTGTGGAAGTCTCCTGTTGATAGTTATTGACCAGCCCCACTGGTTGTCTGTCCAGAAAGAAAACCTGTGGAATTAATGGATAAGCATGTTTATCCCAGTGGGGGCGGGGAAAGAAGAAGAAAAAGATAAGGGGGAGTCCTTCCCAGATGTATCCGTATGGACATCTTTGAGAAGTACCAGCAGGTGTTTCAAGTGTTGCTTAACATTTTTGTTCTTCTTTTCCATGTCCCAAAAGACATTTGAAGCTAAAATTCACCACCTGGAGACCAGACTTAGCCGAAAGCCCCGTGAAGGGACCGCTGAACTGGAGTACTTTGTGCGCTGTGAAGTCCACAGCTCTGACCTCAATACTTTCATTAGCTCCATCAAGAGGGTAGCAGAAGATGTGAGGACCACTAAGGAAGACAAATGTAAGGAATTTACAAACTGTTTCATTTTTGCGGAGAGGTTGAGCTGTAGAAACAGAGTGGAGACTTTGTTATTCCCAAAAAAGGGGAAGGGCTACTGTATGCTGAATTTGAGCAAAACAGAAAAGACTGCCTCTGGGACACCTGAATCCTGAAAGCCACTTCCCTTCTTGTCCATTTCTCAACAGACTCCAGAGTCCATAGCCCATTCTTCTGGTGCCAGATTGAAAAAGTAGAAATAGGAGATGAAATTTCATGCTTTGTTCACACCTATCCTACAGAGTTCTCCGTCCCTACTCCAGTGTTTTATATTATAAATGTAAAGTAGTTTCCTACCTCTGTGTCAGGAACTCTGTACGGATCCAGCACTAAACTACAAGACACTCCCCATGCCATCCTGTTCTGAAGACAGGGTGATTCTTATTGTAAAATATCGCTAGAGATCTGCAGTGATAGTTCTACAACCAGTTGGACCTCCGGATTTGTTTTTAATGTGAAGTCTAGAATCTTTAAGTAAAATCCAGTTTTCACCTGCTTGTTTACTTTTGTCACAAAATACTCTGCTGAGAGATGGGCAGGGAAGTCACGAGATGCAGATCATGGCATTAGACCTGTGTCCTGGTTTCAGCTCTAGGACAAGAGCATTGAGAGTGTGGGACTACTGCCTGGAAGGCACAGCTGTGTCACATGCTATTTGTTGTGCGTGTGCATTTGGTACACCGGGTCAGACATATCTTACTCAACTTCACAACCCCTTCTCAGCAGGGGATGATCCATCTTCACTTCCACAGCCAGTTTTTCTCTTTCTCTCTCCCCACAGTTCACTGGTTTCCCAGAAAAATCTGTGAATTGGACAAGTGCCACCATTTGGTCACCAAGTTTGACCCTGACTTGGATCTGGATCACCCGGTGAGTTAGTCTGTGGGGGCACATCCTCACATTGGAGTCCTGAGCCTTCCCTCAGAAGCAGGGAGCTGGAGAACACCTATTAGTGCAGCTGATCAGGAAACTCCAGCCAGTGATGAACTTTAGGTATGAAATTTTAGTAACTGATTAAAAATCCTGTCTCTATTCCTATTTGTCGTCACAGGGCTACTCTGACCAAGTATATCGCCAGAGAAGGAAATCGATAGCAGAAATTGCTTTTCACTATAAGCAGTAAGTCTCTTTCCTAACATGCATGCAGGGATAATGCCATGTCAATGCAACTTGTTGGGAAGTCGTTGTGCTACCTGCATGAGACTTCTCTTCTTTTCTGTTTTGTCTCCCCATTCAGCCTTGCCAGCTCTTTCTGTGTCCCTCTTGTCTCTATGTATTCCAGTCTCCTCTTAATTACAAGATGTCTTTGGTCATTAATGCATGCATTGATAAAGCCAGAATAAACCTCCTGCACAACAAAAGCCACATATAATTCCACCAGACATCAAACTTCATTTTGAAATGTAGCATCTCTTTTAGAATGACATCTAGTTTTGACTTCAGTGCTTCAAGTACTGAAAAAGCTACCATGTGCCGAGAAAACTTATTCCAATGGTTCATTATCCTGGCTGTGAAAAAATTTGGATTTTATTTCTAAACTGAACTTCGGTAGCTTTAGCTTTCACCCAGTGGATCATACATGCCTTTCATCTGCTAGATTGAATTCTGCTATCAGATTATTTTGCTATGAGGGTATTTATAGACTAAATGGTTCACCTCCTAACTCTCTCTGATAAATTAAATAGATTCCAGTAATGGTCTCATCATTGTCTTATATAGATGTAAGACTATCTCTTGTACTCCTACTTAATACTCCTGTTCTGATATACACAGTGATAGCACTCAGCCTCTTCACTACAACTTCAAACAGAGCTCTAATATTCAGCTGGGTTTGTAAAATATTCCCTAGATCCTATTCAGTAACACTGCCTTCCACCGTAGCGTCTCCGTCTCTGAGCAGGACTTTAAATGTAGATTTCTGTAGCAAGCTGTGCCGAAAGCAGGCTATGGAAATTATATGGGTCACTTTCTTGAGTTACCCCTGTAACTGGTGTGATCCCAGCATGGCTTTCTGCTCTGTAAGGTTTCATGTTCTTTGCAGATTTGAAGCCCAGAATATAGACATTGATGTTTTTATCCTGTACTAATACTAAATGCACAGAAATTCACTGTGCCGGCAGGAGAGTCCTGACAGACACAGGAAGAAATACTGTTCTAAGATGATGCACCCATCTAAGATGTCTTCTCTCGCGTCTCATCTGCAGGTTAGCATTTATGAGCTGCTGTGTAGCATCCCTTCAGGCTATTAATGGAAAAGGAACTATGCTTTATCACTGTAATATGTGAATATGTCATTTGTTCAAATACAGAACAGAAGGATGTAGGAAATACAATTGCTAATTATGATGCAGAAAAGGAAAAAGTGTCAGTCTTCTTTAGCTCACGCTTATAACAATGTTAAGATTTTCTTTTCTTGCCATCCTTCATCTTACTGACAGTATATTTTTCTGCAGTTCAAATGCATTTAGTTTTCCTTATTACCTGCTTTTATTTCCCAGGGAGCCATCAGCCCCCTGAAGTTCAGGCACATGAAATTAATTTATTTTCACAAAAAGTTTCAATTTTTTCCAGTGAAAACCATTTTTTTTCTGGAAAATGTTATGCCTGCTAAGCTTTTGCTCATCCTTTATCCATTTATAACCTCTGGCTAGACTAATGCTTTTCTTTGTGTCTATGTATTTGTTGCACCTGTACAAATGACCCAGTACTAAGGCTTTGTCTTTCCTGTCACCTCTTTGTTTGGTTTAAAGAAGGTTGATCAACATCATGCAGAGCTTCTCCAAAGTGGCTCTTTCTCAAAGGGAAGAGGAGCCTGGCTTGTGCTCTGCTGCTGTCAGTAACGGTGTGTTTGCCTTGCAGTGGGGACCCGATCCCTCATGTGGAGTACACAGCGGAGGAGATCGCTACCTGGTGAGCGCTGATTTAATCTGTGACCTTTATTGGCTTCACCACTAGAAGCTGGGAATCAAAACCTAAATGGTTAGGGCGTGACCTCTCAAAAAATGTATCAGAAATGCAAGCATCCTACTTAATGGCTTTTTATAAAAAACAGTAACTCATTGCGTGGCGCTTTATGGTAAGGACTGCATTCAGGAGAGCAAGCTACCTCCAAGACGGTGATGCTCTGTCTCCTCCTCTCTTGGGGCTGCACCGACAGCACTTTCACGCTGCAGCCCCCAGGAGTTTCCTCCAAAGAAGCCTCCCCAGAGAGCGAAGTAGATAATTTGGAGTCCCACTTCTCTAAGGAGACCTGACTTAGTAGCAGCCTCCAAACAAAGGGCAGTTATCACAGCTGCAGAAATAAGTATGAGGCCCGTGGTGAGTATCTGCATGGTACCTTGCTGGTCTTACTTCAGAAAATGTTTCCTTTGAACATGATTGTTTTCCAGGAGTGCTGATGCAGGAGTGACTGGAAAATAATCAAGTTCAAAGGAAACAAGACCAGCTCATATGAACTGAGTACACAGGCTCCTAAACAAGGTCATCTCCTGGTTATATTGACTGTCTTCATAGTGCAACTTCAGGAGCTAACCTACAGGGAATATTTTAATTCAAGTTAATACCTTTTATACAATCTTCTGACCTTCAAGGTCAGAAATAGGTCTGTGCAGGTACAACTGCTGACTTTGCAGGCTCATTTGAATGTGTGTCTGTATGTTTATGTACCCCTATCAACGCGCGCAGACATAGACTTAGTGGTAGAGAGAGGCAAAAGGACAAGAAACCTAGAGGCGTGAGTCCTTGATAGTGCATAACCAGAGGGTGGGAGAGGACTAGACACATCAAGCCACTGAACGTCTGCCACCTCTAATCCTGAAGGAAGGAGGTATACAGCACCCTGAAGAGCCTGTACCCCACCCACGCCTGCAAGGAGTACCTTGAAGCTTTCAATCTACTTGAGAAATTCTGCGGCTACAATGAGAACAACATCCCTCAGCTGGAGGAGGTCTCCCGCTTCCTGAAAGGTGGGTATGAGCCTGGGGGACCCAGGCCCAGGGTCTGCCAGGGCTCCAGCACGGTGGTGGCAGCTACAGCTGGGAAACCCAAACCTGAAGGAGGGGTGTGTGACCTGAGATTTGGGAGGAGGGCGAGTGGAGGCTTGTGCATTGCCCACAGAGGACAGGGGTAGACCCCAGATGGTGTGGACTGCAGCTAAACACAGTGGGCTGCAACTGAAGGTCAAATCTGTAGTCAAATGATCCCACTGAGCGCCTAAAGAGCAGATGTTGCTCCCTAGTAGGAGCAAAAAGATTAGGCTTGGCACAGCAGAAAACCTTTAGTTTTCAGCACTGATGCTTTTGCTGTCCATGCTGGGAACATGGGACACCAGCACAGCCCGTGGGCCTTGCACCCCCACAGAGATGGTATGCACTGTTTCAGAGAGGACTGGCTTCCAGCTCCGGCCGGTGGCCGGCTTGCTGTCGGCACGGGACTTCCTCGCCAGCCTGGCCTTCCGCGTCTTCCAGTGCACACAGTACATCCGCCACGCATCCTCGCCCATGCACTCCCCTGAGCCGTGAGTATTGCCCGACCCCGATGGCCTCCCCTGCCTGGACATCCCATCTGGCCAGCAATTAACCTTTCTCCCTAACGGACAATCTCTGTCCGCTGCTGACCACGTTTTCCTCCTTTCCCCCTGGGCATTGGCAGGGATTGCTGTCATGAGCTGCTGGGCCATGTCCCGATGCTTGCCGACAAGACGTTTGCCCAATTCTCTCAGGTAAGGTGGTCGTCTGCTTCCTCGCCCCCGAGAGGGCAGGGCATGAGGTGGGAACCCAAACCAACCCCAGCCTCACCACCTAAACCCTTCTTGTTCTAGGATTTATTTATATTAATCACGATGTTCAGCAGCCCTAGTAATGGACTGAGAACCCTAATACAGAGTAAAAATAGCAGATTCTGCAGCAAAGTGTTTTTAGTCAGAGCATGATGAAGCCCCAGCAGATGCATGGCAGTGCAGGGCAAAAATATTTGTTGTCTCAAGGCAATAAAACAGAACAATCCACACGTAAGGCCCTCAGACCAAATCTGTCTTGATGTTCACCCCTTCCCTTCTCTTCCCAGGACATTGGGCTGGCATCTCTGGGAGCAACTGATGAAGAAATTGAGAAACTTGCAACGGTAAGTTTTCCTCTTTGCTGGATGGGGGCCCCCACCCCTCCAGCAGCACTTCTGTGGTATCGGGGGGACTGGTCCAGCCTGGTCTCCCCAGATTTGCAGGCTCAGAGCCCCTACCCGAGCTGCCTCAGCCCTACTCTTTCACGATGACTGTCCAGAGGAGAGATTGGTTAAACAGCAGAGCTCACTTGCAAATTAACCCAAGTTTCTCGGGCACCAGAGTATCATCAAGCATCGTATTTCTCATGACAGCACTGCTGGGACTCTTTGGGATGGGATTAAATGACATCTGCTTCCTTTGGCTCTCCCTTGGCAAGGTGACCCGTCCTGCTCCAAGGGCACCAAACCACAGCACCGCGCAGCAGCCGGGCGCACAGGGGACCAGCCCAGGGACACAGTTTCCATCTGTCCCAGTGCGGCAGCAGCTTAGTTTAGCACTTTGCTCTGGCAGCGATGGGTGTGGGGTAAGGAGAGGGGACAAAGTGCCAGGCGCCCTTTCATTTAAACAACCCCAGACTGCGGCTGCGATGCAAGGGCTCAGAAGTGACAGAGAGATGAAGATGAGGAGCTGTGTCCCCTATGCATTTTTCTTTCTCCTTTCACAGCTTTACTGGTTTACGGTGGAGTTTGGGCTCTGCAGACAGAACGGAATAGTCAAAGCCTATGGAGCTGGGCTCCTGTCTTCCTACGGGGAGCTCATAGTAAGTCCCAGCATAACTTGCCTCTCTGCTCTAGACCCTATACAGCAAAAAACCTTCTTCCTCTGCACAGCTCCAATGACTTTACCCAATCTGTTCTCCACCTCTGTCTATCACATATGTCATCTCCGATCCCCTTAATTTCATGCTGGCATTTTTCTGCTGTGTCCATAGCACTCCTTGTCAGATGAACCAGAGGTGCGGGACTTCGACCCCGATGCCGCTGCTGTTCAGCCCTACCAGGACCAGAACTACCAGCCTGTATATTTTGTGTCTGAGAGCTTCAGCGATGCCAAAAGTAAACTGAGGTAGGACTGGGCAGTGAGGGAGACCCAAACAGAAGGAAACAAATATATTGAAACAGGACTTGACACCATGGCTGCTTTCTGTTCAAGGTCTCAGAAGTACTCTGAAAACTGTTGTCAGGTCTTTCAAAGTAAAGTGATTCTCCAGTTCCTACAGGGTCCAACTTCAGTCCCTTAGATTCGCCCAAGAGCCCCCCAAAAATATACTGGACTCAAAGGCATGGGTGTGGAGGAGTGGGATGGAGTGGGAGGCACTCTTGAAGACAAGACTGAGGGAGTGAGAGAAGGGACAAATCTAGCTCATCTGCCCAGTTCTCATAGGAAGGAGTTACAGATTATCTCCAGTTCCCAGGGGAGGCCAAGCAACAAAAGAGAGGGCTGGTGGTCCAGAAATCGGAGACCCAAACCACCCATGAGGACTCCCTCTGCTTCCTTGCTGCAGAAGGGCCAAGTGCTACAGGTCAGGTACTGGCTGTCCCTCACAGGAGCATCTCACCAGCCTGTGTCCTTCTGAAACATGGGCTTCTGCGTCATGTAGAAGTTTGCTCTGTGGGTGAAAGTTTTAGGAGAGGGGTGAAGAGCTGCTCAAAATGGTGGCATTCTCTGAATTTAGGATGCAGAAAGATGTTTGTCTTTCTGAGCAACTCCTGGGCAACTTACCCATTTACGATTCAACCAGCAAAAAAATCCCAGGCATTGCGTAGCTCGTACACAAACCAAAAAGATTTGCTTGATGGGGATAGATTTATCCATGGAAAGAAAGGAACTTTTGCTTCTTAGGCTGGTTAACATGCATCAGTAGACCCCAGACAGCATCCCACCAGTGTAATTGGGTTTCCCCATCCCATGGGACTGCAAACAGGATGGAAGGGGGCAGCTCTACCCATGGACATCTGTTCAGAAGAGCATTTCTTGGCCATAACCAGAATTGCCCACAGGAAGAAAGCTCAGTCCTTTAACATTTGACTGACAGAGGAAAACTTTGCCTACACCATTTTATCTTAGCTTAGGAAAAGGGTAGGATGAGACAAAGTATTACACAACGTACATGACTTTGCAGTTCCTGCAAGTGTGGTATTTCATATAAATAAGGTGGCGAGGACTGCTATATTTCAACTTCTGCTTTTATTATCCTCACTTGCACTGTTCATACAACCCTGAGTCTAGCTGCTCAAAAGCAAGCATCTGGGGAGCCCATCCTCTCACATGCACTAGGCTGCTTTAAAAAAAACCCAGCTGTTGCCTAATGAGTCATTTCCTTGCATTTAAAAAGGAAAAATACACCACATACATAGCCAAGATCAGGCTAGAGGGTTTTGACAGTGACAAGCACTATAAATTATCCTCTTTAAAGACCACGAAGACCACACAGATGTTACTCTATGAGGTGAAAATATTAAAACATCTATTTTTTTTGCATTACTGGCAGTTGCCACCATGGACCTGATTATCAGTGTTGTCTCTCACGAAAAGCCTCTTTTCCCAGAAAGAAAACTTTCCACCAGTTTTCTAGGTTGGACACACACCCCCAGTGCCCTTTCAGGCACCCAGGTCATGCTTGTATGCTTCAAAAAGGTGTCAAGTGAACACACCCGTGTTGGAGGGCAAATTTCTAACCATTAGCAGCTGTGCTAATGGTTAGAACACCATCAGCACAGTCACCACTGTGGCTGATAGCACTAATAAGCGAGGTGAGCTAGCCCTTGCCTGGGGAAACTGAGATAAACTGTGTCTTTTAGGAGGTGGACAGTGTGAGTATGCAGAAACCCCCTCTGTTTGCACTTGGTTTAGTTTCCCTGCAAGCGTGACAGCTCCCTGCAAGCTCCAGCTTGCGGCTTTGGCCTTGTTGCTACTTGGCCCTATCTGGAGCTGGTGGTGTTTTCCCCAAACCCCGGCAATTCAGGGCCAGGCTTCCCCACGGCATGCAGTACCAGCTGGAGGAGCATTTGAGAAAGGGATGCGCTTCCCCCGAGCCCTGCGCCAGAGCAGACCCATGGTAGCCACAAGAGGGTACCCTAAGCTAAGCAATTCAGGAGCGAAAGGGTGACCCTTCAGTAGAGGTGAGGAGCATACCTGTTGCTAGTGCTGTTTGTCCCCTCATCTTCCCAGGCCTTTCCAGCATGAGATTGTAGCCATGAGTAACCTAAATATAGATTCCCAGCTCCATATTTACACAGCCACTAAAAAAAAAAAAAAAACCTACCTTTTCCAAGTGAACAACCTTAAGGTTAGGCCTTTCCAGCATGAGATTGTAGCCATGAGTAACCTAAATATAGATTCCCAGCTCCATATTTACACAGCCACTAAAAAAAAAAAACAAACCCTACCTTGTCAAGTGTACAAACCTTAGCGTTGGAGGTGAACATGAGCAACTTTGGGGAAACCTTATCATTGTTTTACTTCTCCATTAGAAAGGCATCAATAAGGTCTTGCTCTTGAGAGGTATCAGGCAAAGTCAGGCTCGTCACTGAGATGTAGACTCCAGTTGACTTTGGGTACAATAGTGCAATGTTGCTCAGCCACATGGCTCTGGTGATGATAGCACCCTCCCCTTGCCCAGGCCTGAGCCACTGCCTATCAAATTTATCCTTAATATGGCTTGCAGTTAGTTCCCCCCTCCCCAAGCAGAGATTAGTCAATAAATGAATGTCAGAAAGGATTTAGGAATATAACACTATAATACCACAGGCTTTCCCTGCAATTAGCTTCTAAATCTCCTTGGCATTTTTGAAAAAGAAAAAAAGAAATTGAAGTAGAGGATGCCTGGTGATAGCCACGGAGATGCCCAGTTCAGTGCACCCTCCCATTTGATGTCAGCCCATGGAAACCTGTGGTCAAACTCATGGTCTTCCTTGCTGAACAGGAGGGATCTCAACTACTGCTATAGCCCTGTGGAGCTGGAAAGGTGGGAAACCAGAGCTCTTGTGCTAGCCTAGAAACTCTGCCTAAAGGAGATTAACCTATTGTGATCTGGGTGAATGGTGATGGGTAGGAGGCAGACTCAGGATGCATATCTTGTACCAAGCCCTCTGCACCCTTCCCTTGCAGGAGCTACGCGGCACACATCAAGCGGCCCTTCTCGGTGAAATATGAGCCCTACACCCACAGCATCGAGCTCCTGGACAGCCCTCAGACAATCAGTCACTCCCTGGAGAGTGTAAGGGATGAGCTTCATTCACTGATTAACGCGCTCAATGTTATCAGTTAATACGAGAACTGGGCTCTTTCCTTCCCCTCTTCCCGTGCAGCCCCAAAGCCGCCCGCTCTGCCCTCGCCTAGCTGATAACTCCTACCTGTCTTCTCCAAACATTTGCACTGCTGCCTGTCACCACGCACCCCCAACAGCTTTCCACTTTTGTATGTAGGGCCAGCTCGGAGGAGGGCAGAGGGACAGACCCAAGGTCTGCTGACGTTCTGGGTAGCTTTTCTATTGACTGCTGGAAGAGGCTTAGCACAGACCAAAAGCATGGTCAGGCTACAAAGTCGAAGTCAAGAGCTGTGTGCTAGGCTGCTGGGTGCAAGGAAGAGGAGAAAAGCTTCTGTATTAAAAAAAAAAAAAGAGAGAGAGAGAACCTATTTTTTGCAGTTTGAGAGAATAAATTAATCTGCTTTTTTAGCCCCAAAACAACTCCTATAGCAACTTCATGAGGGACCCTCAGGCCCCACCATCTCCTGCCTCTTACAGCCTCATATATTTTGGAAATGCAGAGCTGCTCTAGAAGCTTTTCTGCCTGAACCAACCCTAGGAGATTTGAAATTTCAGCTCCCAGCCTCCCCTCAGGGTCTCACACAGGGCGATGCCTAGGCACAAACCCCTGAGCTGCACCACCACACCAGGCTGCAATAAGCATCGTAGCTC